CACATTTGATGTGTGTAAACTTTCTGCTTAAATCAACAAAACAGATAAATATTTGTTGTGTGTTGTGCACCTGTGAGAAACCACCGCGCGATCTTACACTGACCCTCTGTATATCACTGTTTATTACTTTGCTGTTATAGTTATGATTTAGCGAAAAATCAGATTTACACTCCGGGCCTGTAGTAGATCAGAAGGTTAAACTTGTTTCTCCTCTCATCATCCACTCCAGCAGTTGCCTGCAACCCGAAAAATCACTTTAAGACTGTTAATGTTTGTTGGAAGGGGCCAGTCAGGATTAAATTGTACCCAGGGCTTCAGTCTGTTAGTCTTGCAAGCCAAACGTCTGACAGTATTCTTGGAAATTCGATGTTTACACCCTAAATTGAAGGCCTAATAGTCACAGTTCACCTAATCACTTCTCCTGCCTTGTCTAAAGACTGAACAAACCCTCTTCTGATGAGGTGTCCTGAATGTAGGAGCTATGTTGGGGTATATGGAAATTTGATGTAATTGGCCTTCAAAGTCACTCTGGCCAAAATAAATTGAACTCTCACTATATCTGTTGTAAACTTGCTTACTCACCCCCTTTAGCAGTACTGCAGTAGTCTCTACAGGGAGATTTTATGGCTTAAAGTCTAGGAAAATCCCCTTCTGATGATGCGTTTTGAAGGTGGGAGGAACTTTTGAAAAATTACAACTGCTTTGGGGTGAATTTTCGGGGCTATTTTGAGTCATGTTTTGTTTTGTTTTGTTTTTTTTTAAGCTGTTTAAGGCAGATGACAGACGTCGCTGCTATGAAGCCGAATATCTTATTACAGCCATAAAATTGTTTTAACTGTCTTTAAATCATCACTTGCACAGAGAGAATGTGTTCCTCAAACAACAGAGTATTTGTTGGAAGAGGCCAATCAGGGTTAAAGTTGGGTTAAAAGTTAAAGAGTACAAACAGCTTTAGTCTGTTATTCTAATAAGCCAAACTTCTGACTGTGTTCTTGGAACTTTGATGTTAACACCCCAAACTGAAGTTTTCCGCCTAATCTCTTTCCTAATATACGCTAGAATTGAACATCCAGTACTGTACAGAAGTCTTAGGCACTTAAGCACATTATTTAAAACCATTTATCTGGAAAATAATACGTTTCAGATTTTTCCTCAAAGTCTTGAGCTATTACTTGAAACTATTAAGTGCTTCTTTATATTATGTCAACACGCTTGACCAAATATAAAGAAGCATTAAATGCACACTCAAAATAATGCTGAGCTAAAAACAGCCCAATTTGGGTTATGTCTGTAACCAGGTGCTGATTCACTATAAAACAGACCACTCACTGGGTTTATCTGAACCGGCATTGTTGGCTTACATGAACAACCCTGCAGGGTCATTAAAGTTACCCTAATATATGCTTACTTTGACACAACACTGGGTTCATTTTAACCCTGTGATTGGGTTACTGTCTGATATTTTTTGTTTGCTTTTCAATTTTATTTTTTTATATTTCATATTATCTTCTACCATCTTCAACCATGAACACTCAAAGAACCATTTACATGCTTAAAGCGTTCTTTGCATGGTGAAACGGTTCTTCACATGGACAGAAAATGTGTTGTATATGGTGCTATATAGCAAAAAATGGGTTCTGCTATTGTGTACGATGTCAAGCCTGAAGCAATAAGAGAACCCTTTTTAGTGCTATTTATTATAAGTACTATAAGTTTTTCTAAGAAAATGCAATCACATGCAAAAATATTGAAATATTGAAAATATTGAATATATGAAAATATTTGCATGTGTATAACATGATAGAATTTGCATAACATACGATAGAATTTAATGGGTAGTCGCTTAAAGATACAGTGTGCACGATTTAGTGGCATCTAGTGGTGATGTCACAGACTGCAACCAACTGAATTCCCCTCTGTCAGGTTTTCTGCCGTCACCTTTGCCGGTTTCGTTTTGCTTCTTCATGTTTCCGCTTCTTTGATGGCGCTTTCGACAATTTTTCTTGTGCTAAATAATAAGTCTGATCCTCCATTTGTCAACATTTGAATTCTCAAACTGCTCGCAACACAAAATGGTCAGCCAGCACCTGCAGCAACCACTGATCCTTCTTCTTTCTACATTGTTCAGCAGGAACTACAGTGCCACCAAATTCTGCTGTTTCAATGTAAAACACGAAAGGCTCCCTCTAGAGCCAGTGTTTGATTTGTCCCTTCTGGGCTACTGTAGAAATATGGCAGCGAAACATAGTGGCCTCTGTTGGAGGAGGAGCTGCTCCCTATGTATATATGAAGGGCTCATTCTAAGCTAATGAGAACACAATAATTTGTAGTTACAGGTGATTATAAACTAATGAAAACATGGTTTTGTTTACTATATTCCATTTCTGCTAATAGATCCCTCTAAATCTTACACACTGCACCTTTAAGCACATGCCTGTTGACTTCTATTGTAAGCGTCTGTTTTTTCTAAGTGCAAGGAAACATGTCAGAATTACTGTGCAATGGTAACTGACTGTACACTACAGTTGGAGGTTGGAGAGATGATGGAGTGCTCCTGAGGCTGGTTTGATTAAACCCAGTCTCAGGCTACATTATGGTGAATAATTTGTTGTCTGCTGTAAATGAAGTACACTTCAGTCAAAAGTGTAAATGGAAAAATCTTGATCATTTCCTGTGACACAGTCGAAGGGCTGAGCGAATGTGCCAAAAGAGTGTATACATTTGTTGGAGCAAGCGTAGGCCTGTGATTTATCAAAAAACTCCCAGTCCACTCATCAGGCCTGCCTGAGATCGGCTAGTCTCAACACGGTGGAAATGTGTATTGCGTGTTGGCACGTATTGACTGTAGCAGCAGTCTTGTGCAATATCATTTTGCGGAGGCCCACACTGCAATAAAGAGAAACAAATGGTGCATTAACTTGCTCTGCTTTTCCCTTTGATACGACACTAATGTCCACATTACACCGATAACATTTAGGGATAACCTTCAAAGCCAGGCGGAAGCGTTTCTTCATGGTTCTTTCTGGAAAGGTCTTATCAAACTCCAAAAGTGTCTCTCTGCTTTTCAACATAGTGTTGCGTAAGTGCCTGGAGTGGAATAAAATAAAGAAGTGGTAAAATCTGACTGTGTGTGTTGGCTGCTGTTTGTGTAATATTGTGGGCTGAAGCTGTCAGTAGCTGATGGTAGTTTTTAGAGTGTTAAAGCTTTTTCAACATTTCTGTATGATTAAATCTTTAAGATGTAAGTCATTCAGAGTGGTTTGGTGTGAAATGACCTGTTCTAGAGAAACTTACAGAGTCAGAATTGTTCAGTGGTGGTGAAAGGAACCTGACGTCCACCTCTAAAAGCTCCCTGACAGAAAGATATTACATGAAATGATAATGAATGCACAGCCTAAAGTCTGAAACGTCAGTGTATCATTTGGGAAGATTTAAAACGTATTTTTGTATCCATTCATGGTGAAGGGATACGTGCAGGGTGTCTTGAGGCAAAGTAGTCCCCAAGGAAAGCATATATTTTCAGATATTTCATTATTTTGCCATCATCGAAATAAAATAAAATGTCTGTGTTTGTGTTGTAGTCATGGCGACCCCTGTTTCCCATCACCACCACTGTAAAGAAATCTGAACCATTTCACACCAAACCACTCTGACTGACTCTGTTTACATCTTAAACACTGAATTATGCTGAAATTCTGGAAATTTGGCTGTTTTGGTGTTTAAAGAGGCAATCTGGTCAAAATAGAAAATTAGCTATCGCTATATCTGTTGTAAACATGCTTGCTTACTTACTCCCTTTAGCCATACTGCAACAGTCTCTAGAGGGAGATTTTATAGTTTAAAGACCAGAAAACCGTTTTGTGATGATGCATCTTGAAACATTTGTAAAATTACAACTGGGGTGAGTTTCGGGGGGCTATTTTGAGTCATGAGCTAATGAGCTAAAGTTACTGCTGAAAAGCCGAATATCTTATTACAGCCATAAAACTGTAGTAACTGTCTTCAAATCATCACTACAATGGAGAGAATGTGTTACTCAAACAGCAGAAAAGACTACCCAAATGAGAGTAAGCTAATAACTAAAGTTAGCAGTGTAGCTACCTGGCTACTCTCTTACTTCAGTGCTTACCTCCTCTTGTCCTGAATAAAGACTAAAGAATCGCTGTTTTCTTTATCATTTTGTTTGACAGCTATGATGAGAGTTACAGTATTGCTGACTTGGATGTATTTGCCTGTATTAGCCTCATTGGCTAGGATAGCAGTCAAGATTTGACAATGCAGGGAATCCCAGTGTTTGTATGATGCATTTCTCATTATTGTAGTGAGAGAACATTTGATGAACAAAACATGAAAATATAAAATCATGAATTCTGTCAAACGGGTAAGACTGAGGGATGCAATGCTGCACTACGCACAGTTAACGAAAATTGTCTGGGCCACATCCTTGGCTTTGTTCTGGCCCAGTATACAGCTGGGTCCTTGGCCCAAATCTGACCCACACTCTATAAAGTGAGTAGAACTTATGGATGTGGCCCAAATCTGGCCCAACTACATTGTTGGTACACAATATTTGTGCTAGGCAAAACCATATGAAGCTGTCCATCATCTGGCCTCATTATTTACATCTGACCAGTAGTCAACCAACGTTAATGCAAGAAAGCCAGAATTGGCCCTAAAACCATCTGCTATTAGGGCAAAATGCTACATAACAAGACAAATAACGTGTTAAAGTCTCGTTTTAGGCCGTAATACTCATTTAAGGTTTGGTCTGGAAAAACGTACTCAAACTGACTCCAAATGTGGTCGATCAGCCAGGTTTGCTTCTTTAGTTTTAGCACTGCAGCTGCGAGGCTAATGTAGCTAGCATGTAATGGAAGTCGCATTATTTAGCATTGTGCTAACTGCACACCTAAGTAATTGCATGTTTGCCTCAAAGCGTGTTAACCTGCTTTTGTGTTTGTGTTTAGCTGCTAATGTGAAGGCGTTTGTTTGTGTTTCAGGGCAGTGATGCCGGGCATGGTGATGTTTCGGCGGCGCTGGTCAGTTGGCAGTGATGACCTGGTGCTGCCCGCTCTCTTCCTCTTCATACTGCACTGCATATGGTCAGTAACCACTTGCACATGTTTGAGTTTGTGCACATCTTACTAGCACCGCTAACAGTGCCTAAGAGCTTGCAAGATTTACAAGCCCCAGTGCACAGTCTTTATACAGATTAATAAAAGATATGTTTTCATAGACTTTTGGAACAATTTCCAAGCAACTTGAAAGTTGGTGCTTCTCTTCCAGGATGCAAAAATGAGTTAATAGGGTTCATGTGAGCAGTTTATGGCTGTGTGGCAGCTGTCTAGCTTAGATTAGATTAGCTTAGCATCATTTATGTAAGCTTTCAGGAAGAGCTGGCTAGCTTTAGGAAAGTCCAGAAAGTGCTGGAGTGGCTGCAATCACCTGATCAGGGTTGCCAGATTGCTACTATAGTTTCCAGCCAAAAACAATTTCGAAATCCACCAAAATGTGTGAAAAACTACAAAATCAGTAACATTGTATGGTCATTTCAAGCGTAATGTGAAATAATACAGCATTAAAAGAAGCTTCTGGTTACATTTAACCACTGATGTCTTGTTTTTGAAAATGTGCAGATGAGTGTTTGAAATGAAATGAACCTTTTTAGCCAACTGTGTCTGAACACATCGGAATTAGACCTCCGCATTTAACCCATCCGTGCAGTGAAACACTACATACACACTAGTGAACACACACACACACTAGGGGGCAGTGAGCACACTTGCCCGGAACGGTGGGCAGCCCTATCCACGGCACCCGGTGCCTTGCTCAAGGGAACTTCAGTCACGTACTGTTAGCTGATGGGATCGGACCAGCGACCTTCTGGTCACAAGGCTGGTTCCCTAACCTCCAGCCCACGACTGCCCCCATCTAGATTGTCACCTATATTGATCTTTTAAACACATGTTTATCTTTGCTACGAAGAACCAAAAGCTTTTTACGTCATTTTTAATATCTGTATGTCTGGACAAATTTGGTGGGAATCTGCCCAATCTGGCAACACTACACCTGATTGCTCTTGATCAATCAGTTGGTCTTAGTCTTCTAGGCTACTCATGTTATCTGAGGGTGAAAACAGGTGATTAAAATGTGTCTGTTTACCTTAAAGGCACCTTCCTCAATGTAGATTTCAAGCCCTGTGTCATCTAGCAGTCACCTGTAACCTTAAGATTCATGAGATTCCAGAAGACCATCCTGAATTGAGCTATATGTCATGATTATGTCAAATGAATCTGTGATTTATCTTGAGAGTTTGGACCTGCATTTTACATGGATCATAGTGAAACACACATAAAATGTGATTGTTATTGATCAGTATTGCCTAAAACAATGTGTTAATTGTTAGTGGGCTGTTCATTTCCTAATATTTCTGTCACTGATGTAACTGGTACAGACACTTACATGTTCCACATTTTACACTGGTGGATATTTTTAATGCTGTTCATATTCCATCCTGTGTGTGTGTGTGTGTGTCCAGGCTGGTGGTCCTGTCCGTGGTTCTGTTCGGCCTGCCGTACGGCTCAGACGAGTCATGCTCAGTCACGCTGGTGGACCACGGCCGCGGCTACCTGGGAATCCTGGTGAGCTGCCTGATCTGTGAGAGTGCAATCATGTGGCTGAGCATGAGAGGCAGCATCCTGTACACTCAACCACGAGAGGCCGTCCAGTACGTCCTCTACATACGACTGGGTAAGATATACACTGTTAAGGTGGACATACACGGGTTAAAGCAAAGCAAATTTCCCCGCTTTTGTCAGCTTTACATAGTTTTCCTCCTTTTTTCAAAATATTATGGTCAGTCATCCAAGTAGTCTGGTCTTCAGTTTTGCATTGGATCTACGAGGCTAATGTAGTAACCACATAAAAGAAGCTTTTAGTCACCCAGGGCCGTATCCTGACTTTCAAATGCTATCTCATCGGTTTAGTTACAATGACAACTCAAAGGATTTAGGAATAAAGTTTTCTAGGTTCATAATCTTAACTCCAAATAAGAAAACAGTATTACAGAAACATCCTAATATTTAAAAATTTCCTTAATACTGGACTGTCTATAGGGCAGTTAACCCCAAAGTGTCCTAACTCAGATATTAAACTTACATTTCTAAAATGTAATATTAGCCTTTTTTGTGTTATTGTAGCATAACAAGTGTTGATGAACCCGCTAAAAGCAGGGTGCATTCATAATACTCTTAGATGTTTGATCAAGGTTGCCAAGACTTCCAGGTAACCTTAATTCTGTTTTGCTTTTGTCAATTTTTTTGCAACAGTAGCTGTTTGGCTAACCCTGATTTACATTTGTGCTTTTATTTTGATCACGTGTTTGTTTCAGCTGTGTATGCATCTTGTGTGGCTTGGTAACGCACATTATTGGTTATCAGTGTCAGTTGAATAGTTTAAGGTTTCCTAACTTGGATGCATATGATGCTGTAAGGAAAGATTTATTTCCCAAATTAAAGATTTACTTTTTTAAAAAGAATTTGTAAAATGTCTCATCTTTAACTGCGCAAATCTTAACTTAGGACTAAAGATAGAAGGCTCTGTAACACAGCCCCAGGTTATCATCATGTAAACTGCAGGCCTAAAATATCACACACTCGCCTTGAACTGTGTCTTGCGGTGTATGACGTTCGGTTATTAATAAAAATGGACAAAAGTAATAGCAAAGTTAAGGCATTAAATGTCTGTTACTGGTTTTAGCTATGCTAGTGTGCACACTTCAACACATTTCAATGCACAATTACTGTGTATTTGCTAAATGTAACATATTGTGGGGACATAATGTGGACTGTGCAAAAGTTATAGCACATTTTAGATTTTATGTTGGATTTTTTTTTTTTAAACCAAAGTGTTGAACTCAGATGCACTAATGCACTAAAATCTGCAAAAAAATGCCACATTAAAGTTTGTTTTCTGCAGAGGATGTGTGATTTTTGCACTTATGAAATAAAAAAGTTTCATTTGACCAACTTTGCAAATGATTGGATATGTATCGTCATAAATGTAAGTATTGTAAAAAGGCATAATTGACAGCCTATAAAGCAATTTTCTTTTACACACATACATGCATATATAAATATATATATATATATATATATATATATATATATATATATATATGTATGTATGTATGTATGTGTGTGTGTGTGTGTGTGTGTGTGTGTGTGTGTGTGTGTATAGCATGCAGTAAATTACTTGACAGTACATGACCCCCTAGACTTTATTTCTACACAGTCTAGTCCATATAATTATGTATTCCTTATTTATCTGTACATCTTCCACAGCCATCCTGTTGGTGGAGCTGGTGTATGCTGTGGTGGGAATCGCCTGGCTGGTGCAGTATTACCAACCCTGCTCTGATGACACTGCCAAAAACCTCGCTCTGGGTGAGAGAATCAATGAGAGATGGAAAGATTAGATCTTATTTAGGAAGGAGGAGCAGGACGAATGAATGGAAAAGATGGCATTGAGTAGAAATGAATCAATAGAATGGTGTGTGTTCAGTTTGGCTTGATATTAGAACAGCAGATAAGCAGATGAAGCTTGGTGGCAGTGACAGGTCAGACTTTTTAAATCAAACCAGAAAGTACATCATCTTAAGTCCTGTTGGGTTTGGGGAGCTTCTGTAATTTAGTTATTCACTAACATGATCTGTGATTTTAATCCATACGATTTTAATCAACCTTACGATTCTGCAGCATGTAGTTTTTACAGTCTGACAGTAATAATTGTGGAATTAATTATTCAATGAATTATTACACAGACATTTTATGGTATAGATTGGCTAATTAAATCTCAAACATTATATTACGCAATCTCCAGCTCCATTGGGACTTTATCTGAGATTGTGGAGGTCTGCATCACGGTATGAATTGCTCATTTTTGTGTGTTACAGGAATCGTGGTGTGTAACTGGTTGGTTATCTTCAGTGTGTGTTTCACCATGATGTGCACTTTTGACCCCACGGGACGAACCTTCGTCAAACTGAAAGCCACTCGCCGTCGCCAACGCAACCTGACAACATACACACTCAGGTAAACAACTGCAAACTACACAATTAGGTTAAACAGTTACAAACTACATTCTCAGGTTAAACAAGTACATTCATACACTAAGTGTGGGCGAAATGCCAAAAATAAAAGATTGTGATTCTTCACAGTATACCATATGTATGAAGATATTATTTAAGTGAAAGTGAATGAAATGATACCTTTAAAAAGGCAGTAAACACTGAGTGCAATGATATTTAAATTAATAATTATTTAAGAAGGAACAATAATTAAAAATCAAACAATTGGTAAAAATTGATTAATATGCATAATGGTTTGCCATCCAATTAGCTACCTGTTACTTGGGCTGTCACTTACGATTATATGAATAATTGAGTAAAAATTAAAATGAGCTTAATTGAACAATAATATACATCAGGCTCTTTTTCCTTGTTATTTAAATGTGCATTTAAAGCGCATTATCAGGGTATCTGCAGGAATCAACAAACAGTCTAATGTATTTTAAGTCATTCATTGCTGTTTTGCGACAGTTGTGTCATGAACTTACCACGGCCACGCATATCATTATATAGCAGTGGTTAGTGCAGAAGTCTTTACTTTCTAATAGCCTGAATACAACAACTACGATAATCCTAACGCCTAAACAAACATTATTGGAGTCGTCTGTTAGCCTGTTAGCTGTCTGCCGAGCTGTTCAATCTGTAACAGTGTTTAATTTAACTTCTTTTACATGTAATTTGTAACCATAAATATGTGCATCCCTGAGATCCTGCTGGTGTGGGTTTCCTCTCTTCCAATCATGCACACAAAAGCCACTCAAGCGCTAGTATCACCGCCTTTTAGAAAATTTGCTAAACACAACTTGATAATGGCCTGCGGATACCCTGTTTATCATCCAAGTTGCAAGCTAATGAGCCAATTCATCGAGAACATAAATTTGAATCATGTTTTAAATTGAGTGATTGAGTTTCACTTAGTAATTGTGACTGCCCTACTTGTTTCTGTGCTGTTAGTGTTATTGCTGTTGTTATTGTTGTTGTTTACAGACTCTCTGTAATTGATGTAAAGTCTTTTGATGATCCATGAAGTTGTTCAGTGATGACCATGCTGAAGTACTGACCATACCCATCATGTACTCAGAAAAGCATAATATGATGTAATTTATCATGGGAATGATAACGTATCGTCATATTACCCTCCATTAATAAACGCTCAGACAAAACGAGCACCAACTCCATCAGGGATGGTCAGAGTTCAGCCCAGTTTGGTGATTTTTCTGCTCAGCCACACCTGCTTAACCTGAGTTGAATGTGTGTTTGAGCAGAGAAATCCCAAACCTGTGCTGGACTCTGGCTCTCCAGGACCGAAGTTACACTCCTCTGACTCTGTCGCTCAGGTAAACCACAGCGCTGCGTACAGTCGCCGCTACCGCACTGCACTGCTCTTCTGTCATCAGCAATGACCAGATCGATAGTATTGATCACGTTTTATCACCCATCTCCCCTGTCTGATTTTGGTCTGTCTTTCTTTTACCTTTTCTTTCCTTTTCTTTTTCTTTTTCTGTTCTTGTTTTTGCTCCTTGCTTTCTTCCTTCCTTTGTTTGTTTCTTTCTTTAATGCTTGTTTCTTCTTTTTTTCTTTATTCTTTCTCTTTCTTTTTCTTTTTCTTTCTTCTCTCTTTCTTGTCTTTCTTTTTTCTTCCTCTCTCTTTCTTGTCTTTTTTTTTCTCTCTTATATTTTGCATTTTGTTCATTTTTCTTTTTTGTTTTTTTCTTCCTCTTAATTCATTTTTTCTTTATTTCTTTCTTTTGTCTTTGTCTTTTTTCTGTCTTCTGTCTTTCTTTGTCCTTCTTGCTTCTTTTATGTGTTATTTCTGTGTTCTTGTTTTCTTTTTTCTGTCTTTCTGTCTCTTATTTCTTCCTTTGTGTGTTTCTTTCTGTGTTTTGGTTTTTTCTTTCTTTCTGTCTTTCCTTCTGTCTTTCTTTCTGCCC